CACTGGCCACCTCTGGGTGAGGGGATTTCCCCCCTGCCCTGTGGAGTGGGAAGGAGATGTGGCCTGTGGGGGAACCCCTGAGCTACCTGGGCTGAGCATCAGGAGAGCAGGGTTTGACCACCCCTCCTGGCCCCTTCCACCATCCTCACTCTGGAGAGCAGAACTCACTTGTTTGAAAGTGCCTTTCCCGCCCCAGCCCTCTTTCTGCATTTCCCCACCTCTTGTGTCGCCTGTCCTCCTAATTGGTCTCACACATCTGACCCTTGCAGTGGGCTGGCATCTCAGGGCCAGCCTGCTGTCTCGCTGGGACCGCTGCCCTGGGACTGGGGTTCGGGAGGTGAGCACATGGGGAAGAGTGTGCTTCCAAGCACTGAGACCAGCCCATCTTGTTGGGCTGCCGGGCCCTTGCTTTCCACCCTGTTTTGGGGACAGGGAGCCACGGGGCAGCCTCTGGCCTGCAGTTCTCTAGATGTCTACTTCCCACTGTGTCCTGGGTCTTCAGGGGTCCAGCCCAGGCTGTCCAGCTGTGTTCTGGCATCGTGGGGAGTGGTCTGCTTGAGTCGGGGTGGCGCGGCCGTTTCTAACCTGTTTTTGCACTTTGCATCTTTCTCCCTCCTTTGTCTCTCCCTCCTTCCCCTCTGTGCGCACTGCTTCTCACTCCGTAGTTCTTGGGGACACATACAATATTCCTTTAGACCCCCGAGGTAAGCAGCAGGGCTCTGCAGCCCCATCCTCCCCCTCCGAGGCCCCATGGGTGAGGTTCCCTGTGGACAGAGGCACCTGGACAGACTTAGGACCCACTGGGGAGCTGGGTCAGAGGGGACACAGGTTCCTGTAGGGTGCTCCCAACCCTCTCAGCTCTCTGAAAGCCACTTTCTGTCTCTGGGCTTCTCCAGGCAGCATCCTGCTGTGTCCAGCATGCTGAGTACACCCCCAGGCTGGTCCAGCACCTCCCTGTCCCCTCTCCCATCCACTCTCCTCCCCGCTCGGCCTTCTGCTCTGTGCAGGCAGCAAGTCTCCTCTGTTCACACGGGCCTGGTAGAGGAGGCTGTGGGCAGTGCACAGGCCATGGGGAGCCTGTGCTAAGACTCTGCAGTTGGCAAATGGGATAAGTGGGCCTCGTAGATACCACCCAGCCTGGGTCGGGGGATGGGGGGCAGAGGTGTCCCACTCCTGTCCTGCCGGCCTTCCTCCTGATCCTGGGCCAGTTTATTAACCACACCACTCGTGACCATAGAGGGGCCTGCCCTGGGTTCCAGAAGAGTCCAAGAGTCCTGCAGCAGGGGGGGAGCCCTGCCGCTCGCACACCCCCAGCTTTGCCAGAGTTAGGCTCAGGGGCCCTCCCAGGGTCTCCTCAGCTGCTCCTTGGGCCCAGGGGAGGCCAGAGAGGGTCTCTGCTGCCACTGCCCGCACCGCAGCAACAGGACGTCTCCCCTCACAGAGACCAGTTCTTCAGCCACCAGCTACAGCTCTGAGTTCAGCAGGCGCCTTCTGAGCACCTACATCTGTGAGTCTGCCAGCTGCCCCCAGCGCCCAGACTCCCCGCCTTTTCCCTTCCTTTTTGTGCCCTCCTGCTAGTCCCGGTCCCGCTCCTGAGGCCCCCTGACCTTTGGAATTGCACCCTAACCTCTAGTTCAGGGGCCACAGGGCCTGGGCAGAGGGCTCCCGAGGCTGTTGTGGGGTCTGGAGTCAGGGAGGGATGAGGAGCAACAGGTGGGAGTTGGTTTGTGGGTCATTTTGGTCAGACTGCCAGGGTAGGCGTGCCCACATCCTTCCCTGTGCAGGTAAAGTCCTGGGCAACCTGCAGTTGAACTTGCTGAGCAAGTCCAAGGTGTATGAGGACCCAGCTCTGAGCGCCATCTTCCTGCACAACAATTACAACTACATCCTTAAGGCCCTGGAGAAGTAAGTGGCCCCCAGTGCTGGTCTGCATCTCCCACCTGCCCCTCCCTGGCTTCCCAGGACTGGCCACGCCCTCCTGTGTCCAGGTGGGGAGGGCACCGCTTTACCCTTCGCAGCCCCAGGACCCAGGGGGTGGGAGGCAGGCCCCACTGGGGTGGCTACAGGGGCTGGCAGCCTTTGGGCCCTAGAGCCAACTCCGTCCTCCTCTCCCCTGCTCCCACCCGAGGTCGGAGCTGATCCAGCTCGTGGCGGTGACCCAGAAGACTGCCGAGCGTTCCTACCGGGAGCACATCGAGCAGCAGATCCAGACCTACCAGCGCAGGTGGGCCCCTGGCTGACCTCCCATTCCTGTCCCCTCCCCTCCCCCAACCTTGGAGCCACCACTCTCTCTTCCTTCTCAGAGCTTCAGGACACTGGGCCCAGTCAGAGGCGGGTCAGCAGCTGTCCTGTGGACCCCAGTCCTCTGCTTTTTTTCAATCACATTCATGGCATGGAGCAGGAGGCCCCCTTCCCCACCACTCCCTGTGCCCTAGGGGGCCACTTTGCCAGCCTCTTCAAGGGTAGTCTGCCAAGGGTGACACCTAATAGTTAAAGGGCTGACAGAGATGCGGGTGACATTTAGGCCAAGCAAAGAGCAAGACTGCAAGAGCAGTTGAACTTGGCTGAGCCTCGCTCTGTGGTGGTCTCTCTGCTCCTTTCCTCCTGCTTCTTAGTTTGTGTGTGTCTGTCTCTCTGTGTGTTTCTTCCTCATTGGTGTGTCTCCCTCTCCCTTCCCATTTATCTGTTGTCTGCTCCCTCCTTTCTTTCTCATCTTAATTGGCCACGATATTGATATGAAGTGTAGTTGGTGTTTGTTCAATGTATTGAGCGCTCTATTTCCTGTTCTTAATTGTAAAAGTGAGCGGCTTGAACACTTTTATTCCCAAGGAAAAATCTCAGCTGTGTTTTGCTTCATTGTGACCCAGATTGATCCCCCCTTCCCCCTTCCCCCAGTAGAGCAAGAGATTTAAAAAACAATAAAACCAACCAGCCCCAGGGAAGGAGCAGCTACCTGAGGCTGTCCCTTCTCTGCTGCTTCTCTCCCTGCCTGGCAGTTGGTTAAAGGTGACTGACTACATCGCTGAGAAGAACCTACCTGTGTTCCAACCTGGAGTCAAGGTGGGCTGAAGGCCTGGGCCGGAAAGGGATGTCTAGCAGACGGGATGCTTTCTGTTGTGTTTCTGGGGTTAAAAATAGACAAGCACCCAACTGGGATGAGAGAGTAAAAGATGCCTAGGGTGGGAGTGGGGGAGGGTATAGCTCAGTGGTAGAGTGCGTGCTTTGCATGCATGAGGTCCTGGGTTCAATCCCCAGTACCTCTAATTAAAAAAAAAAGCCATCAGGGCAGCAGGAGAGGGCTGGACTCGGGTGTCAGGAAGGAGCAGGGGCAAGGCAATTCTGCTCTGAGGACCGCTGTCTCTGCTGTCTCCCCCATCCCCCCAGCTCCGGGACAAGGAGCGGCAGATGATCAAGGAGCGGTTTAAGGTGAGTTGGGAACCTCTCCCCTCCACTGCCTGCTGCTGCTCTCTTAGCAACACTTACCCAAACGTTTGCCTCTGGGTGGATTCCATTTCCACCTTTTTGGTGGCCAGGGCTTCAATGACGGCCTTGAAGAATTGTGCAAGATCCAGAAGGCCTGGGCTATTCCCGACACAGAGCAGAGGGACAAGATCCGCCAAGCCCAGAAAAACATTGTTAAGGAGACCTACGGGGCCTTTCTGCACAGGTGAGCCTCTGTCTCGCCTTTCCGTCTCTACACTCCCCACTTCCCCAGGTGGGCCCCTGTGCTCTTCTTCAGGCAAACATGGAGACGGTGGTGGGTTGGGCGGCAGATCCAATGTGTGAAGCCAGACGGGCATCGCCTCACCAGGAGGGGCTTAGGCTGAGGAAGAGCTGTGGAGGGGCTCAGCCTCCCCCGCTGACCTCCGCGCCCGGTCAGGTTTGGCAGCGTGCCCTTCACCAAGAACCCTGAGAAGTACATGAAGTACCGCGTGGAACAGGTGGGCGACATGATCGATCGCCTCTTTGACACCTCCGCCTGAGCCGCCGCCCCTGCCTGGCCCTGCCAGACCAGCCATGTTATCGGCCAGATAAACCAGTGTTAACGTGCCCCTGGGCCCGGTGAGTCTGGTGTCCTTTGAGACAGGGGTCTTTCTTCGCCACCCCAGCCAGGAGCCCTGTCCCTGAGGCCTCGAGTCCTGGTTTACTCTTCCTCTCACAGCCCCCGTTCCCACCAAAGCCGCACTCTCCCAGAACACTGGGGTCCTTTCACACCTGGAGTTTTCTGACCCTGAGCACAGCCTGCAGGGGCCATGTGATGGCTTCAAGACAAGAAGGACAGAGAAGGAAGACAGACAGAGGTCTGTGCCCACAGCTGCCTCTGCATACAAGAGTAGGAGGGCAGGGCAGCCCCCCTGCAGCCCAGCTCAGAGCTGGGGAGGGAAAAGTCTCGCTTCAGCCCAGTGGGGGTTGGGCTCGGAGGAGCAGGCCACATCTCAGCCAGAGGGCTTCGAGAAAAGCAAGCAGGATTGACCTGCCCTGGAATTCAGTGCAGAGACACATTCCCCATCACTCGCAGCCCTGAGTCTGGGCTGTTCTGTTCCCAAGGAGTCCTTGCCCCCCCAACCAATGGCTGGAGCCGGGGTGCTCTCTCCCCATGCCCTCTGAGGTCCAGCACACCCCAGGAGTTCAGAGAAGGAGTTCTGACCACCCTGGGCAGCCAGACACTCAGCGCCTGTGTCCCGGTCCCCAGTACCTTCTGGCCCGGAGCCAAGCAGCAGTGGTTGCACAAGGCACAGTCAGGCCACTAAGTGTGGGGACTGGGTGATGAGTGGACAATGGTGAGATGTTCAGGGGCAGAGTGGGGGTCGGGGGCGTGAGATGGGGCCCCACCTAGTTTGACAAGAGTGAACAGCGTGAACAAGTGTGAAGCGTGAGCTCAATGAAAACAGACTGCTGAGGCACCACTGCACTTGGGTGATGGGTTTATTCCACATCCTTCGCTTCCATGCTAACCAGAGGGAGAGCTTAGCACGGCCTGGGGTCCTTCAGGCGTCAGGAAGAGAGTCGGCCTCCCTCCGCCTCTCTCCAGAGACCCTGTCAGAGCCCTCTCCCACATCTGCAGCCTGGGCCCTGCCCGTTACAGCTTGGGCTGCCCACCGTGCTGTGCGGCTTTGCCAGGGGCTGGGTCAGCCTGGCACGTCACCCACTTCCAGAGGCCAGCAAAGATGCACTGGCCACACATCACCCCCGCCACATACACCAGGAAGAAGATGTGGTCGGCAAACTCAGCCTGGCTCATCCTTGACCCTTTTACTCCACTGAGGGCTTCTGTGGGGAGAGATACAGGAAAAAGAGGTATACTTCAAGACTCACCCGGCACACACGCTCTCCCAGAACAGAGGGGTACACCCGAGGGGGTACCAGTTTGCATTTCTCCCTTCATCAGGTTCACAACTAATAATGAATATTGGGATCTGGCCCATTCTAGGCCACCTTGAGTTGAAGAAATGCCCTACAAGAGAGGCTCTGCAGGACAGAGGGCTATCCCAGGAAGTCTGAAGTCACCTGGGCCTTTAGGGAGGCTAACCCTGCTCTGCTCCCTGCTCCAGACCTGTTGCTTCCAAGGGCAGCCGTGGTGGAGTCAAGGGGAGTGGAGTCAGCAGAGTGAGTGCAGGGCGCCCCTAACAGCCTAGCGACCCACTGTCCCAGGTATGCCACCTGCCAGCTCTGCCCCAAGCCTGGCTCCTCAACCCCCCCCCCAGGAAGGGGGCCCAAGCTCTGCCCACCTTCAGGACTAGGCCCTGGGTTCCCACAGTCTTGCTGCTCTCCCCTCGGGGCTGAGCTGGGGCTGCTCTCAGCCCTGACGTTTTCCCTGGCCAGCAGCCCAGCCAACAGCACGGTCTCGGTGGTGCTGACACAGAGCAGCAGCAGCAGGGCGGTGAAGTAGTAAACTGGGGTGGGGGGGGCAGAAGGGGAGAGGTCAGGGGACAGCCCCCCCCCCCCGCTCAGGGATGGCAGGCATGGGCAGAATGAGGCAGGCCCAGCGGTGGTCCTGCCCCGGACCCAGTGGGGGCGTGGGGCTTACTGAGCAGCGGGTTGCAAGAGGAGGAGCTGGGCAGGGACTGCACCAGGGAGGAGTGGAAGACCAGGTAGCTCAGCAGCAGGGTCACCTTGTAGGCAGTGCGCTCAGTCCCAAGGGGCAGCAGCCCCCCGCACAAGTCAGCCAGTAGCAGCGCCTGCCCGGGAACCACTAGCGCTATGATGGCCTTCAGCGCTGTGTTCTGCACGCTCAACTGGAAGGAAGGAAGTCGGGGCTTTCCAGGTGGGTGTGCAGGGGTGGGCAGCAGAAGGGTGATGTCGAGGCCGCTGGCTGTGCCTCCTCAATGTCCCCGTCAGCCACGTCCCAACTCACCGTCACCTCAAAGCATGGCACCAGCTGCTGGGATGGGGTCTGAGCTTTCATGTCCTGAACTACATATTCCCTCTTGACACTCACGATCTCATTCACCACGCTGGCTCGGAACTCCAGCTCCATCACTAAAGGGGTGGAGGTGAGAACAGCGCGCTAGGAATGGAATACCCTGCCCCCACATCTCTCGGGAGAGTAGGGGCAGGGACAAGCTGGAGCCTGGGGATGAGGGAGACTTCTGATGGCTGCTGGGGGCAGACTTGGAAACTGGTCTGTACAAGAGTTTTCCAAAACTGATTTTGCAATACCCCAAGTTTTCTCCAGTTAGAGGAAGGCCCTCATCAGATTCAGAGACGAATTTTCATGGTAAAAATAAATGCACTTTGCACCACTTCATGGAGGGGGAAGTGGTCACAGCCTCATTCACCAGCATATCATCTCACACCTGAAATACTAGGATTCCTGGGGCAGCAGCTGTGGTATTTTCCAGAGGAGAGAGATGTATAGGAAGTGGGGGTTCTCTGTCAAGTCGGACAGCACCTGCTGGGTTTGTGGTGTAGTCACTGGGTGGCTATGCCTTCGGGATGTTTCCAGGAATGAGGCTGCAGCAACCTGAGCCTCTGGGCTTGACACAAGTGTGCGGTTTGGCCCTGACTGTTGAGGCAATCGCTCTGGGTAGCTGAGGGGGAGGAGGGAAGACTGGAGTGGGGTACAACCTAGAGCAGGGGAGAACTAGGAGAGGGGGCTGCTGTTTGAGTGGGAGGTGCAGGGTGAAAGCATGTGCAGCTCCCCTAAGCTGCCGGTAGACTGATGTGGACATGCTGTGTGTCCCTGTGTCAGACGTTTGCTGGAGACCAGAGGCTTCCCCTCCCCTCTCCCCTCACATCCCCACCCCAGCTCCTGTCCTGCCAGCACCAGTGTTGCTGAGAGCGAAGAAGCTGAGCTTGCATTCATTCTGGTCTCTGGGGAAGTGGAAGAGCTCAAAGTCACAGTTGGTTTCTGTGGTGAGGGCCAGGTAGAGCTCGACGTGGCCATCCTGGTCCACCCGGGCCCGCGGGTTCTGGTCCTGCCAGTTCACCCAGATCCTGCAGAGGGAAAGGCACCACAGCCAGAGGCCCCGCTTCTCTGCAGGAGGAGGGGGAGACCCTAGCACATGCCCCGCTGCCATCCGCTGCCCTCGGGGTTCCAGAAGATAGAGGAACATGAGTCACTGGAGTCATACCGATGGTCTGGCAGGGCCACCAGGAGGGGGATATTCACTAAGAGAGGGCCTCCTGGCTCTAGATGGAGAAGAGAGGCGGGTATGCCTGGCTGGTTCCTGGGACAAGAACCCCTGCCTCACTTACGCCTCCTGGATAACAAGTCCTGGCGTCCAGAGTGAGTCCCAGGGCAATGTGACTGTGCCCAGCTGGTGCCCAGTTGAATTCCAGGCCAGGCGAGTGTCCAGCCAAGACTAGGGACACAAGGATGCTACTAAGGCTTCTGCTCTATGTATATGCCCCTGGGCTTGGCAGGTTGACGAAGACCAGTACTTCTGAGCTAAACTCAGAGGCTTCTTCCTTCCCGTCCCCACCTCCCACACACCCTGGTGGGTGCTCACCAGCCGAAGCAGCAGCTTGGAGGACAATGTGTACCGCAGGATGTCCTGGGGGAGGGGAGCAGTGTGTCATGTTGGGGGTGTGCACTGTGTGACAAGAGAAGGCAGTAGACCCCAACACTCAATGAAGCCGAGTCCTGTCCCATCCCCAGCTCAGCACTTGGGTCCCTGAGTCCTCGGAGCCAGCCTGAGAACACTTACCACATTAAACACGTTTGACACGAACACTTGCACATCCACAAGCAGGGGCGCACTTCCGTTGTTCGGAATCTGGATGATTTCCTGAAACTCCTGGGGTGAGCTGAGGTTGAAGGATGGCCAGACTGAGAAACGGAGGTTGCGGTTACTCCATGACCTGGGGCCCAGTGTGCCAAAGCCATGCTCCTGGGTGAAGGGCTGAGTGGTTGCGAGCCTGAGGAAGGTAAGATGAAGCAGGAGCCAAAGGGCCATCATCAGGGGCTACACGGAGGGGCTGGACAGGGCAGTGGTGCCTAAGCTACAACCTCTGTATCAGTCACTTCTCTGAGGGACCTAGCAGTTGGTTCGAGGCAGCCGTTCTGTGCAATGACCCTGGAGCCTTGGAGATGGCACACCCCCACCCTGGTTCTGCAAACACCTGAAGACAAAGCCCAGGACCCAGCCCCGCCCACCTTGCACCTGCCTAGGCTTCCCTGTCCCGCTCCATTTCCACCACCTGGAATCAGTTACCACGTTCAAAGCCCACCAAGCAGACTAGGCAAGCATGGGACCCCGCCCCCTTGCCACATACACACCTCTGTGACATGATCCTTCCAACCTGGGCAGGTGCAGCCTGTGTTTCCATAGCAGGTGCCCTTCTGGCTAAGTACCCAAGCCCTCACCAAAGTGCCCTGTGCTCAACGATGTGAGGTGGGCATATCCTGCCGCTCCTTAAACACCGATCTGATTTTACATTAAAAAAACAAAACAAAACAAAACAAAACCTTGGCTCAAGAACTCTAGGAGTAGGGCAAATCTGGGAATAGGTAGAGAGTCTAACTCCTGACCAAAGCCCTGGGACATTTCTATTCTGGACTGGATTCTCGGCCTCCCTAGTTCAGCAGTGCCTTAGAACGGCTGCTCTGCACCTTGGAGCAGGACTGGTGGGTGTTAGGGTGGCTTTCCTGGCCCAAGGATAAATGGAACCAGTGGAGACCAGGTCCCAGAGAGCTGCAGCAAGGAAAAGAAACCCCAAGGCTGAAAGTGGGTAGGCACTGATCTGGCTGCCCAAATCGAAGAGGCTCCAGGGAGCTGAGAACAGGCGAGGACCCGTCACGCCGGCGCACGAACGCTACTGGGAACACACACATAGTGTCTAAATCTCAGCCACCGAACTTGATGGAGCGCGCTAAAACACTGTCTGCCTTTGTCGCACGCACTAGCGGCTGCTGGTTTGCAGATCTATATACACCTGTCACCTCCGCATGGCCACGTGCAAAGAGCCTTAGGCCGTCCTGCGCTCCCCAGCCTCAGGAATTTCTACGTGGATTTTAACTCTGCTGCCTTCAGTGCCGGCGTCCTTTTCCCTCGTAACTAGGCAAAGCACCCAGCGCTCATTCATCCAGAGCTCCCCTGTGAAGTCCCGGAGGCTTCCTACCACGGTGCCTCATGACCATGAGAGATGCGGAGACACAGCGCGTCACTGCACATGAAATGGTTTGTGCGTTTTATTAACAGATGACACTTCCTCCACGATCCCCCGACCTCTGACTCCAAATTTTTAACACCCAAGCGTACCCCCTACTCAGGTCACATTAACTGTCAGGATGCCTTTGCGGGCATTTTGGTCCCGCAGGACAGGCTGGGGACCAGGTTCGAGGGCTGGCCGCTGAGAGGCGCCGGCGCAGGGAAAGAGGGCCCGGCCGCCTCGCTCACGTGCGTTAGGTCGGTGGACTCGCGCTCCAACACGCTGCTGCCGCGGGCGCCCTGGACCGCGACACACACGCGGCCAGAGGCTCTGCGCGGGGCGCGGCGCAGCAAGCCCGCACAGATCTTGCGGAAGCCCTTGCGGAAGTGCTTGGAGACCAGAGCGTAAACGATGGGGTTGACGCACGAGTTGGCGTAGGAGACTAGGTGCGAGAGGATACGCAGCGCGTAGGTGGCCCGCGTCAGAGGGAAGCGGCCGAACCACACGCAAAGGATAAGCGCGTGGTGAGGCATCCAACAAAGGCAGAAGAGTGCGGCCACGATGATGATCATACGCGTCACCTTGCGCTTGGCCCGCCGGGCGCCCGAGCTGGCGGCCACCGGGTCGACGGCGCGCCAGAGGTAGCGCAGCGTGCGCGCGTAGGTCAGGCCGAGCACCACCACGGGGAGCACGTAGCTGAAGACAAAAGTGCAGAGGTCCATGGCGCGGCGGCGAGGCGCGCTCCACACCGGGTGGCACACGGTCAGGTTGGCCAGCCGCGACTGGCGGTAGTAACTCAGGTAGGGCCCGGAGAAGAGCAGCGATAGCCCCCAGATGAACGCGATGGCCGCCAGCGCGTTGCGAGGCGTGCGCAGCTCGCGAGAGTGCAGCGGGTATCGGATGGCCAGATACCTGCGGGTCAGGCCAAAAAGAGAGACGTCAGGTGAGCCAGCGGATTCTCTAGGCAGGGCTGGGTCCCTCCACCTCGAGCCCTACACCCGCTCTCGAGGAAGAGGAAGGTCCCTACCGCAGGTTAACACCGCACAGCGCGCAGGGCGACACAGCGCATCCAGGACACCCTAAGCCGCGCCTAAATGGGGGGGAGGCGTATAGTATAGGCCTTTCAGTGGCCCTTCCCGGGACTACGACCACAGCCAGGCTCCACCTGGTAGGGCACCCAGTAGATTAAATTGGCTTTAGGACTCCAGGGGATGGAGCTATGATTACCCATCAATGATGGCGCCGAGAGAGTTAGGACCCAAGTGCTTGGAAGCTCTAGTAGCAGACAGCCTGGAGATACGTCAGGCAAGGTACCGTGAGGGAATTCCTTAGAGAAGCCGACGGTGGGTCCCACCAACGCTCTTGGAACCAACACACTTCGTGTTCAGTGGAATGGGAAGTATATGGGGAATGCAGCCTCATCTGCTGCCTGTCCAGAGAAGGTCGGGAGGACGTGGGGGCGGGGAGTGGGGGAACCAGGTGAATACTGGAGTCAGACTCGGATTTTTTCCCCAGCAATCATCCAAGTGTCCTTTCAAGATTCAGCTTTGGTAGTGGGGACCCTTGGGCAGGCACTCCTCTCCTGCCCTTGACCCCAGGCCTGCTGTGGGGCGTGTGCTTGCTGGGACTTTGGTGTGGGCCCTCGCGAAGGACCCAAATTCCACAGGAAGAACCAGAGAGTCGACTGTGCCCAACAAACTGTGGCTTCAAGATGAAGGAGGTGGGGGCGCCTGAGTATGACCCTGAGAGACAGACTTAACGTACAAGATTACTGGATGGGCGACTCTGAGCACATCACTTAGGAACTCCCTCTTGTCTATAAATTGGGCGCAGTAATCCCTCCCATCCCAGCCTCACAGGGGCGCTGAGCTTCAAGGGAGATCCAACACGCGGGCACGCTTTGTACCCGGAAACGCTGTGCTTTGTTAGATGCGGGTGGCGCCATAGAGCTAAGGTCTCCAGCCTGCAGCCTCCAGGACGCATCTAAGAGGACACCAAGGTCCCCCATTCCTATTCCTGTTTCTCCTCCTCCTCTCCTGCTTGTCTTTCACTCCCTCCTGGACCCCATGATTTCTTAACGTCCTTTTCTACTCTCTGCGCATGCCTCCCTGACCCGCCCCCTTCTCCAGCCCCAGCCTGCGATTTCGACACCCTGGGCCGCCAGGGCCCTCGCTCACCTGTCCAGGGAGACAGCGGCCAGCGTGAAACTGCTGGCGTGCATGGTGAGGAAGATGAAGAAGTGGACGGCTTTGCAGAGCAGCGAGCCGAACACCCAGCCGTCCAGGGTATAGATGGTGGCCTGGAAGGGCACGCAGCACACGATGAAACACAGGTCGGCCACGCCCAGGTTGAGGATGAACAGGTTGGTGGTGCTGACCGCCTGGCCGCCGCGCAGTAGCACGGCCAGCACCAGTGCGTTGCCCACGGTGCCCACGAAGAAGATGAGCGCAAACAGCGCAGGCACGATGACTGCCTCCGGCTGCCAGCTCCCCGCGCCGGCCGCCTCGCTCGCGTCCTCAGTGTCCAGGCCACCCGAGCCATTCATGATGCCGCCGCACCCGAGGCTGCCCGGGCTTCTGCAGCCGTCTGGGTCCTGGCGAGAGCGCAGCTCCGGCGGCTCCAGCCGCCGCAGAGCCCAGCTCAATTCCGGGGAGCTGCAGGCGGAGTGAGCCTCGCTGCGGCTGGGGCAGAAGAAGGGGGTGCGCTGGGGCCAGGGGGAGGAGCGAGCAGCCGCAGGGTGGGATGATCCCCCGCCGCGCTGGGGGAAGGGCTGTCCAGCGGCTCCCGCGCGTCCCGGCCACGGCACAGGCAACCCATCCCGGGGACGGAGGGCCGCACTTGGGCCTGCCCGCCGGCCCTCCCGGGGCAGGCTAGTGGCGGGGGAGGGAGGCGTTGTCTTCGAAAGAGTTCCAGGCGGCCCCTACAGTGTAGGGGTGAGGAGCGATGAGGAGCGGAGGCGGATGAGGGGCTGCAGTTTTCCACAACTATCGAGTAGGACGGCCCTGCCGGCCCTGCCGTGTGCTCCGCTCCTCTTCCCGCTTCCAATTCCCAGGAGCACCGCACCTCACAGGAACCCAGGGAGCAGCGGTGCGGAGGGTGGAAGGAGGTTTCTGAGAGAATTTCATTCCCTTCTCTTCCCCATTGAGTGTTTTCCCCTCTAGTTCAATCCAATAAAAATGTATTGAGCATCTGCTGTGCGTCAGGCTCTGTACTTGGCGTGGTGCCTCAGTTTCCACAATATTACTATATGGGCCAATAACACCTTCTCCGAGGGCTCTGGTGACGATAGAGTGAGATGTATGTGAGACCTGAAGCCAGCAGGTAGAATGAATCAAATTCTTCTCTTTCTCCTTAACCTATTCAGATATCCAAAAAGAGAAAACTTGAGGAAATACAAAACACCAGAGTTCCATGCATCAGTAGTAGTTTCCTAGATGGCCAGGAGAGTGTTTAGGTCACAATAAAACCTAGATATTTGTTTCTGATTTTGTCATACTAGGCACTAAATATTTGAGCCCCAGAATCATGTTTCTACAGATTTTAAAAACTGGGTCTGAAAATCGCCACCTTCTGTAGCTTGACTTCCTGCTTCACCTTTTCCTGCCCTGTTCTTTGAGTCCCAGACAAAAACTTTTTTTTTCTATACCCTCTCCCCCATCTCATCTTCAGGAACCCAGCTAATCACCCCTCTTGGTAGGGAAGGCTTATTCACACCTCTGCCCTGCTTGCTTATTCATTGAATAGGAAGATAATAACCATTCATGTTTCTGTGATGCTTGCCCATCATTTATTCAATATGCATTTATAAAGCACCTACTCCTTTTCCAGGCACTGTTCTGGGTCTTTGGGCTATATCGATGAGCTCTACAAAGATCAAGGCCCTCCATGAGCTTCCTTTCTAGCAGGGGAGACAGACAAGAAACATAATTCAAGTAATTTATGAATCAATTACAAGTTGATAAGTACTTGCAGGAAAAGTAGATTAGGGTGAGGGAACTGGGACTCCCGAGGGGGTGGTGATGGTGCAATTTAAAATAGGGTGGTCAGGCAGACCTCATTAGGAAGGTGACATGTGAGCAAAGACTTGAAGGAGATGAGGGAGCTAGCTTAGCAGACATCTAAGGGAAGTGCATTCCAGATAAAAGAGCCAGTGCAAAGACCCTAAAGCAGGAGTGTGACAGTGTCCCTAAATAAGGAGACTGGTATGGCTTGAGTTGAATGAACCAGAAGGAGACTGGTAGGAGGGGAGGTGGGAGGCACAGCATGGAGGACTTTTTTTCCATTGTAAGGAGGACTTTTAGTCTGAGAAGAGGATCCACTGCAGAGTTTCGACTTTAGGACTAACATGAACAGAGTTTTTTTAAAGCGTTACTGAGATATAATTCATATGCCGTACAACTTACCCATGGATAGTGTTTGTTTGATTTTTCGCATATTCACAGAGTTGTGCAACCATCACCACAAACAGTTTTAGAACATTTTTGTCCCTGCCCAAAGACACCTCCCACCCCTAGCCCTAGGAAACCACTCTTTCTGTCTCTAGATTTGCCTATTCTGGCCATTTGATATAAATGGAGTGATACAATATGTGGCTTTTTGTGTGTGGCTTCTTTTACTTAGCATGTTTTCAAGATTCATTTACATCATAGCATGTATCGACAGTTTGTTCCTTTTTACGGCCAAGTAATATTCCATTGTGTGATATCACATTCTACTTATCCATTCATTTGTTGATGGACATTTGAGAGACTTACTTTTTAAAATTATTTTTAATCATGGTAAAATATACAATGCACAATTTGTCATCTTAAACATTTTAAGAGTACAGTTCAGTAGTGTTAAGTATGTTCACACTGCTGTACAACCAATCTCCACAACTTTTTATTTTTAGAGGAGGTACTGGGGATTGAACCCAGGACCTTGTGCATGCTAAGCATGAGCTCAACCACTTGAGCTATATTCCTCCCTATCCAGAACTTTTTGATTTTTGTAAAACTGAAACTCTATAACCATTAAACAATAACTCCCCATTTCCCCTGCCTCCAGCCCCTGGCAACCACCATTCTACTTTTTATACATTTGACTACACTAGATACCCCATATAAGTGGAATATTACCAGATTTGTCTTTTTGTGACAGGCTTACTTAACTTAGGACAATATTTTCAAGCTTCATCATGTTGTAGAATGTGTCTGAATGTCCTTCCTTTTTAAGGCTGAATAATATTCTATTGCATGGATAGACCACGTTTTGTTTATCTGTGAGGGCCACTAGGTTGCGTCCACCTGTTGGCTATTGTGAACAATGCTGCTGTGAGCATCAGTGCACAAATGTCTTTTCAAGACCCAGCTTTCAATTCTTTGGTATATATATCCAGAAGTGGAATTGGTGGATCATATGGTAATTCTTTTAATTTTCCAAAGAACTGTCATACTGTCTTCCATTGTGGACATACCATTTTCTATTTCCACCAAGCTTATAATTTCTCCACATCTTCACCAATACATATTATTTTCTGTTATTGTTATTTTTAATAGCAGCCATCCTAATGAGTGTAAGGGGATAACTCATTGTGGTTTTGATTTGCATTTCCCTGATGATTAATGTAGATTTACTTTTAAATGCACCATTTCATTTAGTCTTCATAACCGTCTTTATTGGTTATCGCCAGTCACAGATGAGGGTAAAGCTTTAGAGGGAGATTAAGTTATTTGTCCACAATCTCCCAGCCAATAAGGGCGGAGCCAGAATTGGAGCTGCAGAGCTGACTCCAGAGCTCGCACTGTCAATACTGCAGAGTAAAGATTTATAGTATCCTTTGCTTTAAAACTTCTCTCTCCTCGGATTGCTCGCCCCAAAGAAGAGCACAGATCCCCAACGGTCTGAGAAAGTCCCTGTACTATGGTCGGCTCCAGAGGAAAGCGCAGACACAGGCGGTTCCCTCACAGACGGGGTGATTCGATCCGTAGGGTGGGAACTCCATCTCCTGAGTCCCCAGGGAGGTAGACATTCCGAAGTCCAAAGGTCTTATCCAACCGCCCTAGCCCTTTGTGCATGGGACATGAGCCGGATCCCCGGTGCAGGGATGCGGGGTCGGAGAGCGCATCTCTGGGTCCTCCGCCTTTGGTGGACGGGAAATGGTATTCCCCTAAAAGACCTCAGCAGCTACGGTCTCCTAGCATGTCGGGGCCCTCGGACTATCCCGCCACCCTTCGAGACCCCGGAATCTAAGCCCACGCGCAAGCGCGCTCCAACAAGTGGCCGCAGCCTGCGGGCAGAGCCGTCGACAGCGGAGTCCGCCGCTATCCCGTCAGCCCGTCCGAGCAGGTCCCGCTCTCTCCCGCTCGGGTCGTCCCGCCTCCTCTATCCCGTCCTGCTCTGCGGCGCAGGGGCAAGATGGCTGCTGAGAAACAGGTTCCTGGAGGCGGCGGCGGCGGTAGCAGCAGCGGCGGAGGCAGTGGCGGTAGCGGTGGTGGACGCGGTGCCGGAGGAGAGGAAAATAAGGAAAACGAACGGCCTTCAGCCGGATCGAAGGCAAATAAAGAATTCGGGGATAGCCTGAGTTTGGAGAGTATCCTTCAGTAATGGGGCCTAACTCGCAATGACTACGTGTCGATCTGGCGGGCTGGGGGCGGGAGAGGCGACGGGGCCCGGCACGTCCTGGGCAGAAGAGGCCGAAGGTTGCAGTTTCTCTCGCCCCTACTTTTTGGCATTTAGAATTACAAGGTCTCTGTTTCGACCGGCCTTTCCTTGCATCTCCTTTACCCTCCAGTCTGGGGAACGTCCTCTTCTTTCAGGCAGCACCGGAATCCTGGGCAGTTTTCTGTAGTTTCCCCGCAGTTGCCCAGTTGGAGAGCTGGTGAAGGGACAGACACTGTGGCCACCTTAGTGAACTACTGCCTTGGCACCTTGGGCCACCGTATCGGGGAAAGGAAACTGCAGTCTTGACCTGTCGACTCAATATTTCTGACAACCGTCGAAGAATAGATAATGAAAATTACAGTCTGATGGTCTGGAAGTGGAGGCAAAAGTTGACTGTTCTAAGGAAAAGCTTATTGCCCGTTTTGAATATAAACCAAAGTAGGTTGTGAACATTACTTGTATACCTTACTTAGCAGGTCTGTAGGCATTTTATCTTGTTGAGAGTCGTTCATATGAGCTGGAGAAATCGGTTACTAGTTTTCACCAGAGGGTATCACAGTTGAGTGCTTATGACACTAATTTGTGGTTTTTTGAAATGAAAAGTAGTGGAGAAAATGGAAGTGAATTTCTGAAATAACACATTTAGCCTGACATCTTAATTTAGTGAAGTTTTCAAGGGGTTGGGAGTTTTACTTTCTGAACTGGTGACGTACTTCCAAATGGATGTTAGAATGCCTTAATTTTACTACAAACCTTATATTTCCTTGTCTCTTTTTAGTTATGGAAATAGTCTTATTTATTTTAAAATACACCTATAGAGAAGCATTGAGGAAACTTTAAAAGAAAACTAAAATTGTAGACAAAGGTCACTGGACTTCCTAAAGTTTGAGACAGTCCTAAAATATTTTGAGATCCTTAAGGAGAGTTTGGTCAGTGCTTTTTCTTTTAAAAGACAAACTGGGATTTTAATGCAAACTGTGGTCTTGTTTGGTTGGCGTGTGCTTACCATAGGCACATGCATCGTCACAGCTGTTAAGGAACGTCAGGTTTAGCAGATGTAGGAGGTTATGCAAATAGAGAAGTAATACACGTCATTTATAACCTGAATCTGCTTGAATGAGTAAAATATTGGGTCCAGGTGTAAATCAGTGGGAACCACCCCAGATACAGCCAGCCTTTAGGATCCAGCAGCTTTATTTAAGCTGTTGGGTTTCATTAA